CTAAAGACATCCAAGAAATCTGCTACTGCTAAAAGACCTGTCCTAAAAAGGTTAACTAAAATAAAAAGTAAAGCATGGATGAGTTTAAAAAAACAAAAAGAACATGTCAAGTGGGCACATGTTCCGACAGGGAGCCTATTTTTTGACCTGTTCGGAATACTGTAAGCAGGCCCATAGCCAGGGGGGTTTTTTTGGTTCGGGAAAACCTCCCCATTTCTAGCGAACTCCCCTCTTTTCTAGTAAACCTCTCTCCCCCCCCCCCAAAAAAAAAATTTAAAAAAATTTGAGTTTTCCAACCCAACTATTTCACTGTAGACCCACCCAGACTCAGACAGAATGTTTTGCAGCAGACCGACCATTGTCAAACATAACTCTTTTTATTGCATTGTTTAGACCCATAAAACACTAAATCGAGGCCCCTGGACCCCACACCCAGTGAACCCCCTCCCCTTGGAAGAACCTGGCTACGGGCCTGGTAAGCATGCCCAAACTAATATTTTGTTTTTTGCTCTGTGGCTGATTAGTGGGAATTGGGGATATTAGCGTGTCTGATATGAGGTGCTGGTTCTAACACTGATTCAAACCAATTTTTTTGCTTTTATTGAAGTGAGAATCTGTAAGACCCTCTAACTATAGGGTATTCCCAATACTATATACACCTTTTTACTTACATATGCTTGCACTACAGTAACGCATCAACTTCTGGAAGGCATAAAACATAAGCAGCATAATACGTATACGGTACTGTACATGTGTGTTAGAAAAGTTTATCTTGTGTGTACTGCTTTAGGTAATGTTAGATATAGCCTTGGGTTAGAATTCGTATAGACAATTTGTATGCCTGGAAGACCTCAATGGCAATGAGGACCTAGCAAACACCAAACGTTATGACGTCCGCGAATGTTGTGGTTCGGTATATCTTAAAGTACTGGTCAAACAACTGTGTAGGAACATTTAAACATTATGACGTTGTGAAATTAGGTTTAATAAAGTATGTACTGTCCGCGAATGTTGTGGTTCGGTATATCTTAAAGTACTGGTCAAACAACTGTGTAGGAACGTTTAAACATTATGACGTTGTGAAATTAGGTTTAATAAAGTATGTACTGTATAGTACATATGGTGCTACAAAGTAACACCAAAATGTAACATTATTATAACGTTCTTATTTAAGCTTATATTTTTCTACAGAATTACAGTAAATGTTGATCAGAATTTGTATATTGTATCCTACACATCAGATCTTTCTGAAATAAATCACCTTATTGACTAATATTTTACTAACATACCATATATCTAGAATTTCACCAAAATATTAATTTATACAGTAAGGTGATACAAAGTTCATAGATCAAGGAAAATTTATGACAACAGAAAGTTCATGATGGATGTGTAACCAAACTATTTTTATACCACTTGACACCAATGAGTAGAACCCTAAACCAATGTTTAGATCTGATAAATAACAGAAAGCTATATTTTACATACCTCAACATTAATCATTTTTTTATGTCAAAATGTCTCATCTCTATTAGGCTGTCTAGAAAAACTGTTTAGTTTTTAATGTGTGACAAATTATTGAGGTTATAGAGTAGATTAGTTTCAACTGATGTTGAAAGCAAACTTAAAATGCTATAATTGGTCATTATCTTTTGGGAGGATGTGATGCGTGCAAAGCAACCCCACCCTTCCCACCAAATAAATAAAATCGGAAAACGTTTGCAATATTGAGACATTGAGGATGTACTCAAAATTACTGTAGTTATTTTCTAGTATGACAATTGATATTAGAAAATACTTTTTATGGATTACAAGGCTAAACATAATGATTTCAAAATCCCCACCTAAACTTTGATCATAACAGTTCTCCCTTTCACCAAATTGGTCCATTTTTACACACCCAAAGCCCCAGTGACAATGCTATGGCCCTGATTGTCACACTTTTATAACTGTTTTTTGGTAAATATTCATATTAAACTGTAGCATGTTAATTAAAGGATGCTTGCCTTTCAATCCTATGGTGTATAAAAAGAGCAGATTTTCTTGAGGGCTCCCTCTATCCAAAAATAGTAATTGTAAGTAGCTAATACCCCCTTCACACTGAACTAGTTCGCACTACGTTCTGGAGAACAGGGTGGAACAGGGACGAGCGGGATATGAACAGAATGGACGTAGCAGAGACTGAATACAACCTTAGTACGAACGGTATGAACGGGCAAGGACGGGAATGGTGGTCCAGAACGTCAACCATGTTTAAAATTTGATCGCATTCTACCCGTTCAAAAATAGAACTGAGTAAGGTTGCAAACGAGATTGCCATACTGAATACGGAATTGCCGTACTGCGAACATGGAACTAACGAGTCAAAAACGAGCTGAACGTTGTGCGAACAGGGGAAAATAGGAGTACGATCCAACAGAGATGCTGTTACGTTCCACCCCGTCCTTCCCGTTCTCAGACAGACCTAACTACATTCCATTACGTCTTTCTTAAGCCATGTTAACCAGTTTATACGTTTGTGATACGTTGCTATTCAGTTCTAAAATGTTCTTGCTCAGCTTTTATTCAGATCTACTAAAATTATTCAGATCTACTCCTTTCTACTACATTGTCAGTATGTTCAGTCCGTTTTTAGTCAGATCTACTTGTTTCTATTACATTGTCAGTATGTTCAATCCGTTTTTAGTCAGATCTACTCGTTTCTACTACATTTTAACTATGTCCACCCCGTTTGCAGTTGAATCAGCAAAGTTTTTGTTATAAATAGTGCAGATCAATGATGCTCTCCTCATTTGGAAATCAACTCTGAATCAACTCTGGCTGAATTGTTATTGTTATATTATTTTACCATGGTGTGTCAGTGTTTTTGATCTTTTTTTCTTGCCCTGTTGAATCTGTGATTCTGCTTCATCATTTTCAGAATGAGGTGATGATGTTCACTGTGTCTCATTTTTTAGAGCTTCTTCCTCTTTGTCTTTATCAGCAGCAGGAGTATATGGGCCAGCATCGTCATCAGCAGGAAAATCATCAATGTATTTCTTTGAGGTTCCTCTCCTTTGCCTCTTCTGTTTCCTTTGCATGTTTATTATCGCAAGTACTGAATCCAAGTGAGAATGGGCTATATAAGGGTCGTATTACAGCAGATCGGACTGGAACATGACCCAGGTCCCCGTTCTGAACGTGTTAAAGACTGCCTGAGAACGCAGTGCAAACGGGCAAGACTGAGCATGAACTGGTTTGAACGGACATGTCGTAGTGTGACCCATGTAGAAACATCTATGAACGGGGTTCAACGGGTTGAGGACATATTGGAACTTGTTAAGAACGGACTACAAATGACATTGAGTGTAACGTCTTCCCGTTTTAAATGTTGTGCGAACGTTGTACAAACCGTCTGCAATCGTAATGGACTGACTTAAAACTGTGTTGTGTTGCAGTAAAAGCCAAAATTGCACGTTTGAACCCGTCCTCATCCCGTTTCATGAAATTTTCAGAATGGGCAGGAACGTTCTTCGAACTAGTTCAGTGTGAAGGGGTATAAACAAATTTATTACTTCATGCTGTGTTGATTGCAGCTTATTGGAGTTTATCTAATACAAGAATACAGATTGTGATTTCAGTTTAAATAAAACTATACCCACATGGAATCAATTAACAATTACACAACTGATGTGATAATATTATATATATTATATAATGTTTAAATATGAGCCCCGATTGGAAAATTATATAAGGTTTAAATATGAGCCCCGATTGGAAAATTATTTATTGGATAAAACAGATTTTTATGGCGCATGCTTGAATTTCAGCGGCGCTCAAACACTTTACATTTAGATCGCAAGATAAGTACATGGACTTTGATTTGATTTGTTATAAAGAGTCCACAGTAATTAACCATGGAGGAATTAGTTTAGATCTTTAGACTAACTATAGTGATCTCAGCTCAGGAACAGTGTTTTACCATTTTTTATTAGCATTATAGCAAACTACAATAATCAACAGAAATTTACAGTATTTTTTTGGGTGGAAAGGGGGACCACTTTACCGAGTTGTATCACCTAGTCCCATCTGTAATTGGCAAGTGTATATATCTAACAGTGATATGTTACGGTAATAATATTTTCAAAAATGATTCCATTCCCCTTTATAATTTTGTATTAGAGTTGGTTAGCAGCAGATGGAATTGACATATTTATATTCCGACCAAATGGATGTAGAACCAACTGCCTACAATAAAATAAAAATAGGTTCCTAGCAGAATGTGTGTCTACTCCTGATATAGTGTTTTTTTCATAACTTTTAATTCACGACTGCAGTCGTAGGCCTCGTTACACTTTATTTTCATTCTTCTATAGCAGGATTGGGCATAAAAATTGGTCGGAGGGCCAGAGTGAATTTTCGATTGAAAAGGGCCTCACCCAAACTTTAATGTTTCCAGTGAGCTTCCAAAAACCTCCAAGCACTGCTTTTACACCACTTTATTCTTAGTTTTTTTACATTATGATCGGTGTCGGGCCGTAAAAAAAAAGTTGTTTTCTAGTGAATGTTGCTTGGCGGGCCGCACACATAGGGTTTTTAATTCATTTTCGTGGGCCGCAAGAAAATGGCTGTCGGGCCGCATGTATCCTGCGGGCTGTACTTTGTCCACCTGTGTTCTATAGAATAGGCAATGTTTCATCATATTTCGTATGTATATAAATATAGCCAGCACAATGGCACTACAACCTCACGATAAAGCAAGATTGCTCATTTCTGTCTTATAACACAATGCCAGGTCATCATTCATTCAACCGCATTTCTCTTACAAGTATAGAGATGACAGGAAAGTGTTGGAGAGTCAGTAGCTCTCCAAACCAACTTGGCTGGTAGACTTAATGAAGAGGGGCAGAAAGATTTGAAGTTCCATTGGACAGTTCTACAAAACCATCAGACCAATCAAAAATTAATAAATATGATGATATAATATTGTTTTAATTTTTTTTTTTTTTTTTTAATTTTAGGATCAATGTTCCCTGTGTTTAAGATGCAGTCCCCCATCTACAAAATGCAGCCCGTCCCCATCTACTTATGCTTCATCTGTGCACCTATCACAAACACTTGAGCAGAGTCCGTCATCAGTTCAGTCCAAGGAGGACTCTTGGCAGGTAGAAGGTTCCAATACAGATATCCTAGGTGACCATCAGCATGTAATCAGGGCAGAGGTACATTCAATGCCCATCAACACAGCAGAGGTTACAGCAAAGAAGAAGGTAAGCCTTTTACTGAGTGACGGGAAAGGGGTGTGTTTGGGGTGGAAAGGAAAAAATGTTGCAAGAGGTATCCATTTGCCTGTCCTCTTGCATGCTCATGCTTGTTTCTCCTGCTTTATTGATAGATATTTATGTGACGTCTACGTCCATAGATGTTTATGATTAGTTATGTCACACATCTACTTGACAATTTTTCCTACATAACCTGTATAATTATAAACATAAAATGTATCCCCCAATAATTTGTGAAAATACTATACGATGCTTTGAGTAGACAGTTATAAAAGGAGAATAATTTGATGCAACGGGTCTATGCACAGTGGTTACGTTTTTATAACATAATAGTACTATTTTTAGGTGATTTTAACATACTGTAGACTGTAATTTCCGCACCACTTATTACCTGATAAATTATCGGAAAGCAGTTATTTAGTTATTTTTTTGCTTTGGGAAACAGTTTCTGATAATTTATCAGAGAAATCGTAAGAGTCTGCGGAAAACACAGCCGAGATTCTATATTACATGATAATAATATATGTGATATCAACATATTTTTTTTTTTTTTTTGTGGAAAAAAAACAGACAAATCATGTGACTAATGACACCCGTTTATTGGAAGGTGATGTTAATGCTGATGATTCTAGTGAGGATTCTAGTGATTCTGTGACAGTCGTTGAACCACATCCTGTTCAAAGAGAAACATTCCAGTCAGGTAAATACTCATTTTATTGGTATCTACAGGGGTGTATCCCGGGTTTATTCTGGGTGGGTTGTGATCATAATTTTTTGGACCTTTTCACAATGAAATAGCAAGATGTGATTTTAATACAATTGAAAAAAAAATAGTACAAAATGCATTAAAATCAAGAAATGCAATCAAGATCATTCATTTTACACAAAAGTGAGACAATAAAACATGAAATCTGAAACCCTTTTAAGTCAGAGATGAATCTGAAAATTGCTGTAGCCTATTGAGCTGGAAGGTAGCCTACCTTAAGTTTAAACGGAAGCAATCAGCTGACTGGCAATAGTTGCTGGAGTAGTTGAACTGTTTGTGATGTCCGGGCCTGCTTTGCCTTTCACCATCTGTAGGTCTAGCAAAGGCGGAACGCGCAAACAGCATGTGTTGCCCCGGCAAACACTGTATCAGTTGCTGGTGGGAGACAGGAAAATCGATTACAGCGCCACCAGATTAAAGCGGATGGCAGGCTCAGTTTCAGAATTGCTGGAATTGAGATGGATTATGTCACGCGATTGGCAAATTCTTAGGACTCATTGCTGCTACCTCATCAATGCTTTTTCATTTATGTCAATGTGAAAAGGCCCTAAAAAAATGTCTTTGGAAAAAATGTGGACCTTTGAAAATTTTTGAGTAGGGGGGATCGTACCACCTTCCTGGGCCCCTCCCTTTGCATACACCCATGATTTATAGATCAAGAACTATATCCTGAACACCATTTTCCCAATTGGAATACAACAGGGTACCCAGTTTGGAAGAACCTAGTTTCCAAGAGATCTGGTTATAATGAGCTTTCTTAATTAACACATCTTTGATTTTGCTGCGTGTATTGATAAACATCTCTAGAAACAGTTGATAATACATTAGTAATGAATTTGCAGGAGATAGGGTAGTTTCTGGTAGATTTCTACCTGCTTATACAAGTTTTTGAGGCTGCCCCCACTTCGCAAAACTCATCTAACTCATGAAAGACCTGGGACAACACAAAGGAAATATCGGTTGGATGTGCTGAAAACTAAACATTCAATTTTTGTTTAAATCTCATTTTGTTTTTGTAATTTTACAGAATATAGAATACAAAGTAGATTGGAGGCTGATCTAGAATCTGCAAGAAAAGAAATAATTAAACTCAGGTCACAGTTACAAGCGAGTCCGGCGAAAGAACTCAACGCATCAAAAGTATGTTATCTTTATTAAGTTCCTTTTTAATATTAACCAAATGTGACCTAAGCTCGCAAACAGGCTGTAAACTCGCACAGCACTGTATTGAGAAACAAGCCTCAATAGCCAGAACATGCCATAAAATATGAATTTCGTGTGAATTGGGTTTTTGTGTAATAAATAAAGTATAATTATTAATCTTACTATTCCTGAAGTTTGAGTTTAAAATTCAAACTGTAAAAGGCAAAATTTAGCCATTTTCCAAATGGGAGTTATTGAAAATGAATAGGAATTTGCCAAAAATAAAAGCATTTTTCTCAAAACTTGATTTAAGAAAGTTGAGAAGATGACAATTGTTCAAACGGTCATAACTTTGCTTCCAGACACCCGATTGAGTTTATTTAACTGTCATTTTAAAGTAAATGATATGTTCTATGCCATTATAACAAAAACTCATTTTGGCTTGAGGACGAGTTTACAGCCTGTTTGTGAGCTTTGGTCACAAATTATCTATTAAAATTACTTAGTATGAATTCAATAGATCCTGGCCTTTTTAAGACATTGTGTGCTTGGCAAAAAGGTGACAAAAGGTTCACGGGCAGTATGGAATATTTTACAAGAAAGTGATGACCTTTGCTTTGTTATAATTGTTTATAGCCAGAGATAAACCAACGAAATATGTGTGCTACAAGGCAATCAATTACAGGCTAAGGAAAGCGATTAGTTCTGTATTACATCATTGAATGTTAAACATTGTTAAATTCTTTGTCAGGTTTGAGTAATGTATTTATAATAATTCATTTTTTGTTTTTAACATTTAGGGGTACAAGTCAGATCATCATAGACTATTGTATTTCAGATTTCTTCCATTTGATTGACTGAACCAGTCATAGTTGGTAATATCATGGACTAATCATTGGCTAAAAAGAGCAAAATTATCTATTTAAAATTTGTTTAGATTTCTATTATAGCCATGTTATACCTAAATTTCTCATATAGCTTTCGTATTTCTCATAAAATAAAGCATGCAAAAAAGAACATCACTGCCTTCGTTGTCTTTCGTAATTTCCGATAACGTTGCCAAATGTTTCAGCTACCAAGGTATACAAATGTATGCTCTATTGGTACATTGTTATTAAATTTGTCAATAGTATGTGTATTGACTATATAACATCTAAATTTTTTTGTGATTACCACAGCAGAGTGAGGTGGCTTGTGAGATGGACATTATTGATGAGACAAGTACATCTTTCGGTTCAGATTCTTCATCGGTTTGTCTCCCTCATATTCAGCCGAACAGCCAATCAAGCGTGGTGTTGGTGAGGCAGACAACCATGTACGTTTAGGCCATGAGTTTAGTGTGAACATGCAGTTTTGTTTTATCTGTTGCAATTTAGATATGCAGTAGGTTAACGCTTGGCGGGGGGCCCATTTTGTGTCCCAGTCGCCAATTCCATTGTGGGATTTTAGATGTGCTCATTTTTTAATCATATTTGTCATTGTATTCTAAGTGATTTTAACGACAGCATAAATGATAAGATATCAGTAGCGGATCCAGGAATGTAAAATAGAGGGGGCCCCGCCAGGGAGGTAAATTCACAGATGGAGAGTCTATACCACCTCAGCCCCACCATGGTTGGGACTGAGGTAAGAAAAACATTTTTTTTTTATTATGGCACCTAGATGGTGGGAATGGCACTCACAGACCTAAAATTTGAATATAATTTTTTTTATCTTCCCCTCCACTAAAAATTATAAAATGTAGGGGCCTCTAAAATTCGCGGCCACTGGATATAATATGTTAATGTCAGAGACATATTATGCTATTATGCTCTTATGTATCAACAAAGCTCTTTTGGGTCATGGTGCTGGATCAAGAAAGGTCCCTATGGGTAGGGGCCACCTAGGGGCTTAGGACCGTCGCATGAGAGAACATGCGTAACAACACTGCAGTTGTGGCCAACGTCTGACTTGTTGTGATTATATCTTGTGTGCACCTGTTGACTGCAAAATGATTTGAATTTCATCGACCTTGTCAACCATGCCATATCATTAGTTGACAAAAGTACACTTTACGTAATTAATGTAGGTAGACACAGTGTACCAATAACTGCGAAAAATAGTATTACGAGTGGAGATTTTTTATGCTTGCCAATCTTTAATATATATATATATATATATATATATTTTTTTTTTTTTTTTTTTTTTTTTTTTAAATTTTACACAACTGCCTGTAATACAAATTTTGAATTAATCCTTGAATGATTATTCTTAGGTTTTTGGTTCAATTACTGGTCACAATAACAGGATTTTTTCTCAATGAACAAAACTAGTCCATTTCCTAGGCCTCATAATGAGTAAATGTAGAACATTGCGTGTGTATGTTTTCAAAGGGATTGCCTCTTTGGAAAGTGATTAAGTTTGCTGCTTTTGTCATATCCTTGACATTTGTAACTAAAGTTTAATAAAAATAATCTTTTAATTTTAAAATTTAATAAAAGATTCAAGGTGGTGAAAAAAAAAAATGTTAAAAAGAGCAATATTTAAATCTTATCCAAAATTTGTTCTCTCTTATCACCTTATCTAAATTTTGTTCATAATCTTGGAAGTCTGAGAAAGAATTACGATGAAACATTGAAATTCATAATTATGTATGATAGGCTTCTTTTCCTCCAATTTGTGATCTAAAAAGTAGATATGTCTATGCTTTTATAAACATACCAGAAAAGAATATAAAAATTCATTATTTATAATTATGTCCAACAATCAATGTTTCAATTCATGTTGTCATCCATTTTTTTTCAGACCATGTATTTTAAGAAAGTTTTTATTGTAATTAAATGTTTGTTTCAGGGGCTCTAGCCATTCTTCCAATTGCTGTTGTACAAAATGTACAGGATATAAAGAGGAGGAAAGAATTGACAAACAAGAAGACTGTAGTTCAAGTATGACTGAAATAAGCGCGCTAGAACATCACTCCAATCATTGCCATGGTCACAGGTGAATTTATTATTTTGATTGATTATTAAACTACCATAAAACCTCAAATAGAAGCCCTGGGCTTCTTTTTTTTTTTTTGCAAACTTTCGATGGGCTTGTTTTCGAGGCTACATTTACAAACTAAAGAGTGGGCTTCAATTTGAGATGGGCTTCTTTTTAGGGCTTCTGTTCGAGGTTTTACAGTATTGTATTCCAAAAACATATTTCTAAACATTGATGCACAGAGGAAGGTAAAACTGTTTCAGTTAATTGTAATTTTATTATTTTAATTGATTATCTTTATGTGCTGTATTGTGTTAATACATTTATTGTTTAAATATATTATTGTTGTAATTCTCAATAAAACAATAGCAGAAATGTGAAACAAGGATGAAGGCTCTTACATATGGTGTACCTGGATGGACAATTCTGTTTTGTTTTTTTTTTTTTTTTTTTTAGAGTAAATTGTGGTAAATGTAGATTGGTGTATTTGGTATCGATAAATGTAGAACCAAGAAATTACCATTGATTTTATTTATATTGAAACAAACAAAACAATACTGGATTGGATTCAACACCAACCACTAAGCACAAGCTTGGTGGTCTAGTAGTTAAGACACCAGGATAGAGGTCCTGGGTTCGATTCTTAACCGAATCACTTGTGAGATTTTTTTGCAAGTCTTTGGGAACGTACTGATCATTCAGAGTGATAACACATCAGGTATGCAAAACATTCCTATATTTTAAAAAAATTATAAATTGTGTAAAAATTTATTTTGTATTTTACATTTTATGTAGTGTACCAGTTCAGTTAAATGACCGAGTTGTCATCCGAGGAGGTCGCATAGGTCATATACGATATATTGGACCATTAAATCATGGGAACAGCAATACAAAAAGTACAACATACCTTGGTCTTCAGTTAGATGAGCCACGTAAGTACAAAGATGGAAAACAGTAAAATTTAGTTGACTAAAAATTTGCATAATATAATTACGGAATTACATAAAAATTGAAAGCTATAGAATAGTCATGTATTAAAGGTGTAGTGTAAGCACAACTGATGAGAACCACCCTCTAAGACAGAACGTGTGCTGCTGCTAAGCCCATAGGCGGGGCTTAGTGGAAATGCTCATTATGAAGGCAGAGGCTTTAATTTGTGCCTAAAGCAGGATGGATAGATTTATTCGGTGTAAACACCAAGGATAACCCACTAAAAGTCTGAAGCAGACTTATTTCCAGTGGTGTCCTTCTGGTGGTGTTTGGGTAGTACACATGGAGACAATCCCCTACTCTTCTCCGAAAAATGTACAGTAAAACGTCCATTTTACGAATGTCGATTTTACGAATGGGCTTTCCTCCTGATGATGTCATCATCGACCAATTAAAACCGTAAAAAAAAGTCTGATTGCGCACATTTCACAAAGTGATAATACTGTATATATTTTTCTAAATAAAATCAAGTTTGTTATATTTATTTTTTAACAGTTTGATCTTTTTTCCATTTCTGCTATAATAATCACTATATTAATGTAATAAACCAAACCAGAACAACGAACTACCAACGCAAGTGTCTTCAGATTGAGCGCACATGTTTAGTATGACACAACAAAAGTGCTGGGGTCAACAACTTATTGACATCCTGAATGCTAGATGATCACGAAGTGCATGTAAACAACACAATTCGGCGATAAGAAAGAATTCGATAGAATAGGCCATAAATAATACAGATGTTTTAATAAGAATTAAAATAATATTTTGTTAAGTGGAAGAATGACAGCGATTGAAATAATCTGGTTTTTATCAAAGGTAAATTCAGCTAGGCTCTAGCCGCGGTAGACCACGTTGCACACTGTCGGTACATGCTAGGCCCAGCCACCGTCAGCTTGTCGACGCTCAATGGCAGGGGATAGCTAGGCCTATGTATTGAAAATTCACACCAGATCTATTTTATGAATTTTTTCTGGGACCTGAAAATCTCCACGCTTCAGCCCACACACGTTAGCTACCACATAGTTTAGCCGACTGAGCTAAGCTGCTGAAGCATATATAAGCCTCTTCACAGTGTACTGTATGTAGAGTAGAGCTCGAGTTGGGGTTTCAAAACCTGGCATAAAGCAAACCCCCATCCCTCTGAAAAGATAGTGCTCTGATATTTTTGATGATTACAAGAATTATTTATTTTTATTTTTAGATGGACATCATGATGGGATACACAATGGTAAACGTTACTTCTGGTGTCATCGAAACCATGGAATATTTGTACCAATTCAAGATGTTTTATCTGTAATCAAATCTAAGGTATTGCAATACTTTCTCAGGCAACCATTGAGATTTGGGCATTGTCTGTTATGCTATTACCCATCAACAACATTCACACAACCTGGTAGCCTTTGAAGTACACTTTGTTACCCTTTGTATAAATGAACTCAACATCATGACAGAAATTAAATATTCCCCACGACATTATAAAAAAAAACTTAATTTTTTGTGGTCACCAGAATCCAAATATCAAAGAACTGAGAAATAATATTTGTTTAGAGTATAAATCTATAACTTTTATGTTTCTAACAAGGTATAACTCGCCATAGTCAATGTAATAACATATTAATATTTAATAAATATATGAATATGTTGCCTTCATTATTGTTATTCGTGCTAAAGAATTCTTGAAAATAAATATACGAGCTGAATTTAATTGATGATTCATGTAAAATGAATCTCATCTATGTTGTGATAAATTAGCTACTGTCTAAAAATCTAACGATGTAACCACGTTCGTTGACGTATTCATACGCTTGGGAGACCTCTCTATTAAAATTATATTTCAAAAGAAATTAGGATTAGGATTATTAAAAAAAAGGTGACAATAAATGTGGCAAAGACAGCCAAATGAGTCACTCCTTGCAAAAATGGATTTTAGTTATTAATACAAGATTAAACTGTAAAATTAAAGTTATATAATGGTAATAGAATCATTTAAATCTGGCATTTCATATAAGTTACAAGTTGAAAAATACAGCTGTTTGAAGTATAGTATTTGAGAAATCAGCCTTTAGATCTCAGACATTTCTCTGGCAGAGACCATCACCAAATTGTAAAAAAATGTTGTTTTAACATTGAAAATGGGGAAAATAACAGCATATCACAATGTATATAAAGTTTAGCTTAGTGTAATAAAATAGATTTCGAAAGTTTTGACACTCTCATCTCCAAAACACGCTTTTACAACGACTGACTGGTTCTTGTCTTGTTCGCTACAAATAATGAAATAAAATATAGAAAAGTTGGCTAGCAGCTGCCTGTTGTACCTTGCATCCAAACCAAATTCTATTTATTTTCGCATTCAATGCTTTCTCTATTTTAATTATTTTAGAATTGTTTCTATTGCTAAAATGTGCATTTATTAAATAGATTATTATTAGTCAGCATTATACAAATTATTATTCTCCTCTTTGAAGACTTCAAGACCACAGACTGTAAAGAGTAGTCGGAAGAGTTCAATTGACCACAGTAAATTATCTGCATTCAAACGAGAGAAATCTGGCACACGTAACCGGGTCGCACCAGCCCTTTTACCAACGCCCCCAACAACAGCAAAACCAAAAAAGTAAGTATGCGAAATCTCCATAATATTATTATGATACAGATGGAAAATTTGCTTTGTTCCTATGTATACTATGTGAGATGATCATACAAAATTGTGAGACATTCCAATATGTTTTAGGTTTACAAGGTATACTTGAAAATGATAATGTAGCTTGTAATGTAAGTAATAAATTAGGTTTAATATTTTCTAATACTAACATTATTGACAGTTCGAAAAATTGGTCTATACTACTGTTTAAAGAAGCATTTGCTATATATAGGCTCCATTGCTTAACAATGGGCTGAAAGCTTCAAAGGAGCTTTCTTTGTTTTTGTAGGTAGCTTTGATCAGTAGGGTAAGAATGCTTTGATCTTTAGATTATTCATAGCTATGTCACCTACTAGAGGTAATGTTTTGATTGGTTAAACACTTTTGGTACTTGTTCATATAAGCTTGCAAATATGGACGATTTTTCATTCCTGATGATGACATAATTAATGTTGAAATATTGAATCCCGACACAATGGCGTGCATTTCGATACCTGGAGTATGTATTATCTCAGATACTATCTTATCTGAGATTAATCAGTGGACCTTTCGGTTCTATGGGACATATGTTCCCCGAAACCTCAACAATGTTAATACAAGTTAATAATTTGAAATAATTAAAAATGAATACAGTGTGTCTAAAACACTGAATTTTTAATAATTTAGATAATTCTTTTTTTTTTTTTTTTTTTTGCTTTCCATATATCATCCAAAAGAATTTTAATGAAATTATAAACTACTACTTATCGATAAACTGATAACTATGTTGTTCCTTCTTGTAGATTAAATTCTACTACAAACATTTTGATATTTTGTGACTTTATTTGTCCAGGTTCCATGGGAAAATGTAATAATGTGTTAGAATCTGTTTAAATTTATTCTTTATCTCTGTTGTACATGTTTTTGTACTTGGTAATCTTTATTTTAAAATATTTTCAATAAAAACAATTGTAAACAGTGTACCAGCCAGGTCTTGGCAGATGATGGTTTTTAAACCTCAGTATTACAACAATCGAATTTGAACCTGTAAAAAAGTTAATACTTAATTCTTAACTTTTAAAAATGTCTGTCTCCTTTCGGAGTTACTTTTTTTCTTTTAACAGTGTAGGTTGTATTCTTCAACACCGCGTGCATCTGTACTGTGTCATTGTTGTGTTGTAATCATGTCTAGTGTAAATGTAGCTTAAGCCTACATGAACAGAGATTGATTATTTATTTATAGTTCAAGCAATGAATGATAATTTTATATCAGGTTGCCAAGTTGTGTAGTTCTGTCCATAATTCCCCTCTGCACACATACAACTATAGTTAACATATAGTAGAAAAGAATGGGAGATTGTTTCCCATTATAGGCTCAACACCAACTTTGTGGAACAGGTTTATGTACCCCTTTGTTAGTAGACTTATGCAGACATGTATATATATAATATGCATACATATAAATGCATTCATGCTAATTTTCTCTGATGCTTCACAACAAATATAAACTATTCTTTTTAAATTTCATTCTTGCAGAGAATTTTTATCTGGAACATGATATCTGGAATGCAGACATTTTTTTTTACATTGGAAAGTAGCTGTTCTGAGCATTGACATGAGGAAAATCCTCAACAAACTGGAATGATCTATGAAATCTGCAAAGAAGGGAACCCTACAGAGATCTACTTTCCAGCACTGACTTTCAGTTCTTGATGGTCTAAAAATAAGTGTTCAAATTTTTGCGAAAATTATAATGATGACATATGTTCACTTGATCTTGATAACTTGTGTTCCGACCTTGGCATTGGCGACCTAGCCATCAGTCGTCTACTCCAGTTTTCTAAACACCTTTGAGGTATCCATTTAACCTAAGGTTAAATAGAGTTTTTAAGATAAAAAAAATGTATCGTTCCATTCTGTATAGAAGCCAACCAACTTTGAGGTCAACTTGGTGTTCAGACCACCTGCTTTTTTAAGGTAGCCAATTGAAGTATCATCTCAATAACATATGTTCTATTATTGATGGTTTGGCAAAAGGTGTTGGGAAGGACTTTGCCACTTTCACATAAAGGGCTTCCAGTAGATATGTATAGGACAAATACAAATATATTTAGAGTGAAGAAATTAGCTCCAAACTTTTCTGTCTCTGTTACTCCAATGAGAAATCTGTTGCTCCACTTTAGTCTTTTTATCCTTTATTACCATTGATTTACTTTGGTTTATGGTTCATGTAAGCATACTCAGTTGGTTTTAGTTGGGGTGGGCTGTACTTGAGAGAAATATTCGTTATTGTGGAGTGTAGTTAAATTTTGTAACTACAAAAATAAGCGCTATAGAAGTACCAAGTAACAAGTCTGTCTCTGTGTCTCTCCATCTCCCCATTTGTCTGTCTGTCTATCTGTCGGTCTGTCTGTCTGTATCTAAATTTGCCCATCTCTCTGTTTCTCCTTTGTCTGTCTGTCATACATTATTCAAAGTATTAAATCTGAAATAAGTTTATCTAAAATTAAAATTGCATATCAGGAAATATATTTTTTTGTTAGTTCACTAACAACCTCAACTTAAACTTACAACCAAAGTGTTAATGTTAAAACAAAAAATAGACAACAAATTCATAAATAATAAAAAAAAAAACCATAGTAAAAATACCAAATTCTTATAAAGTTTCAATATATTTCACAGTTTTTAATGAATAGCTCTAACGATGTTTGTTAATGGTAAATAAATATTGTGGTTGGTAAATTAAATCCAATTAAAAAATGAAATATTGTCTTTTCAACTCATAAATAGAATATGAAAATACTGTTTCCTTATTTAAAATTAACAGCAAAAAATTGAAAATAATTACAATTATTTTGGTAATATATTGTATAGCTAATTAGGCCAACAACTGTTTGTATTGCCAAAGCTCTAGCTTAGACCAAAAATCTAAGAAGTCTACAGTCAGCTATTTTTAGGTTTTTGTTAATTTTTTTTCAGGAACCTGAACTGCTTGTGTGGTATTTTGAAAAGGCACTTTTCAAAATTGTAATTAGTTTGATAAATTCCATGCATCTTCCCCAATAGTTACCATTCACCAGTCAAAGTGAATGTTGTGCCAGGCATATAGTGACAAAAAATATCCTTTGCTCACACAAACTTTATGCAACAGATTTGTGTGATATGTGCCCATATATGGGCATGATGATGTCATAGTACACACAAATATGAGTATATGACTTTTGTCACATAAATTTGATATGGATAGTATGAACAGGGCTTTAAGACTTCCAATTGTCACTATATTTGGGCTACACAGTAATTTTTGTTGGCCTTCAATGCAGTTATCCTAAATTACAGTATTAGTACCACATTAATTCTTATTTCAAGTAAGTATATCCTCTACCATATCTTCTTGTGTATAAGACAAAGCGTAACATTGCAAATTACTATCGAAAAAACGGGATTGTCGCGCAACACATAAAAATTCTTGATTTTTAAGTCATGTTCGTCTTATCTGCCAATCGTCTGTAATGCGTAAATTTACTACTGAAATGAAGCTACTAACTGTTAGTATAAATGAACTCAAATTTAAATGCGGTGAAATACGATTTTGGTGAATGTTTAAAAGCGCATGAAATGGAATTATTTGGAAGCCCTTTGAGCCAGCTAGATGCAATATGAAGACCATAAAGAGCAGCAAAAAGTAGGAAATCCGATGGGTGAAATAGGAGGTCGTCTTATATGCCCGACATCCAAAAATGTCCAAAATTCTTCTGAAACTTGGGGTTATTTTATGCGTGGATTGCCTTATACGCAAGAATTTGCGGTAAATGTTTATGTCAAATTGACATTCAATACAGGCATGCACAGTTCAAACTACAAAGTGGTTATTTATGTAAAGCGTGGTTTCCATAAAAATCGCTACACGCTATCGCTGACTCCTTTGGCAATGCTGATCGGTCAGTTGAGACAAGGGAACATTCCGGATTGCGCCGGTGGGACAGCTACGCAGTGCAAGGACTGCAGTGAAAACACTGTAGTGACTGTGTAGCGATTATATGGAAACCAAGCTTAGAACATTCAATAGATCATCACCACAACTAGTACAATAATTGTATCTTGTGCAGGTTTTTTAAGTTGTAATGAAGCCGTGTTAGTCTAAACAATATACACAGATTATAAAAGGCAGGACTCTGAGACTAACTTTGATGTAATTTATTCAACACAAGCCTGATGAAGCTGGCATTGACTGCCAGCGAAAGCTTGTGTTAAATAAATTACATCAAAGTTAGTCTCAGAGTGCTGCCTTTTATAATCTGTGTAGGTTTTTTAAGGCAACTGCTGTTAAGAATATCATTCCATTATGATTTATTTAAGTACATGTAAAGTACATCATTGATTATTTAAAAAAAAAAAAATATCATTCCATAAAATTATCAAAACAAGTTTGACAAATTAACTATTTATTAAAAATAGATAAATATACCATGTTTTTTTAAATATCGTTTTTGTAAACATTGTAATTGTTTTGTATTGTATCTACTTTATGTTCTAATGACTTCAGCAAGTATGTAGAATTGAGAATTCCAGTTCAGTCTGAATTTGACATGGTTCATGTAGTATGCTAAATTTAAAGTAGTATTTTATTTATTACACATCAAAAAAAAGAAATAATTTCAGTGTTATATATTTTGTATCATATTTATTATACAAAAACAAAAATATACAAATTTTTATATAAATTATTTTTCATGTAAAGTAGGTATATATTGGATTAAATTCCAATTATAACAGAAACTAAAACTTACAGAAAAGTTAAAAACAAAATGATCTGAAGATTTTAATCATGGCCTTTTTCATGTCCTCTTATCAAAGAGCTCTATTAATTAAGTCTCATTTGAGGCTTTGTCTTTGGTCTTAATAAACTGTTTTACAGGATTTTAACCCTAAATCATAGAATTGGAAGGCGGACATCTTATATATTTAACTACCAAGATTAACGTAAGATTTTAAATTTGATGATTATGTTTAGGATTTTCTGAATTTAAATTTTTTATAAAAAGTTGTTTTGATAATTCTTTCAATAATTTAGCATCATATGTCTAAATGTGAGACACTGGATTGTCTTGTTTTCTTACTTGCAGTTATATGTGTGTAGTAGTATTAGTTTCCAAGCCTAGGTTTTTCTAATCATTTGAACCTACTGGTATACAATACCAGCAGTGGTGCAGCGGGAACAGTTTGGTTTCCAGAGATTTCAGTCCCTCGCTGTGCTTTTCACTTATGTCCTTGGGCAAGGCACTTTATCTGCATTGCTTCTCTCCACCCAGGAGTGTAAGTGGGTACCTGGTAGGGCTAAATGCCAAAACTGAGGTAATGATAATGCGAAGCGCATAGAGGGCTTAACAATATAACTATTATTTTTTAAAAGAAAATCTATTTTTAAAACAGAAGTTTTTTACTAGTGTGGTTGGTAAATTTACATCTACCGTCTTCCTAGTTTTCTATGCAAGTTGAATTCTCTAGGGAAACTCATGAACAAGGATTTTAACGTGGAGTGTACTCCAGAACCAAATGAACATGCTGACATTTTCTCTTTTTAAACCAAAAAGCTTCGGTTACTAAATTATAAGCTTTGTATTTATGCACTGTGTTTCTGACTGGCCATTCCCTGGCGACTTAAAGGGACAAAACTTTTTCTTATTTCTTGTTATATTGTAATTAGATCAGCTGCATTAAATGCTTGTAAATAATTTGGTATAGCAAAAACATAATTGAAGCCATGGTAAAATAATAAATTATGGTTTACTTTTTGTGATATAAATTTAGGGACACTTATAATTAGAGAAGGTAGAGGGTATTGCAATTTATGTTAAGGAAAGTGTATAATATTGCTACTCATAGTGTGGTCATATTTAAAACCTCTCTTTTTCATTGTCTGTAAAGATTTTTCTGATATTTTTTCAAAATGGTGACAGGGTACCCCAAGTTAAAAAAAAAATTGATTAAGTTGTTTTTTTATGACTGGATGTATTTCTTGCCAAGTATTTTTTTAAAATTAAAAGTAACAGATAGCACCCTCAAGCTCTCAACCATGAGGTTAGAGATTTGATTTCATTTTGCTTACCTGTAGGATACAGAAGTTTTATGCTGAATATATATTCTATTGTTATTTATGATTAATATACTGTACCTTATGAATATTAAATATACCACCTTATACGTCAATCTACCCGGTAAGGAGTGCTGTAGTTTCTACTTCCCTGCGTTTGCCAAATTTATTTGTATGTTGGGTAAAAAGTGCTCAAAATTGAATACCGCACCACTGTCTATGTGAAACATATGCAAACCATATGCAAACTGTGTCATTTTATACCCTCACAGATCAAAATGGCTAATATAAGTTTGCTGTTTAATATTTATGAGGTATAGCAAAACAAATACAACATAGTTTTATTTCAGTGGAGCAGTGAATTTTACTCCCCTCTTTGGATCATTGAGACTATCTCCTAATCATCCAACACCTCGGGAAGTAGAATTCGCTTTAACAATGTTGTATACTCCCATTGGAGTGAGGAGGTTGCAAATTCCATATGGTTGTCAGTCAGTGAAGCAGTGAATTCTACTTCCCTCTTTGTATGATTGAGACTGTCTCCATCCATTTCACGTTGGGTGGTAGTCCCAATCATCCAACACCTCGGGAAGTAGAATTCACCTTAAAACATGTTGTATTTGTATACAATTGCTCCAATGATTAGCTTTAATGTTCTTTGAGACCTTGTATAAAGCACTATACAATTGTGAAAAATAATACCAATGTTCACAATAATTTTGAAAAATAAGCTACATTTGAATGGTTAGTATTTTATCAGTTACATCTTAGCATCCTACTTAAGGTATATCTTGGCCAGTAATTCACAGAAATATGAAGAAATAATTAAAAAGTACATGTGGAGATATAGATGGCATTGATAATGAAATTCATCAGGATTTAATTCGTTTAATTTAACTTGGATTTTTTTTTTTAAATTTTGATAATGAAGCAACAATAAAACAAAGGTATTATTTGAAACAGTAACTGCATTTTGGATCAACTCAAAAACCTTCCTATTTCCTGCTTCATTTATACATATTTCTGGTTTTTAGGCGAGATAATATTTTTGTATAACAAAGGTTCTTTACAAACTCTGACATGCATTCAGTCTTTCGAATTTATCAGTTATGCAATGACATTGAAATAAATACTATGAAACATACACACTAGATTTTCTTTTGTTATTTATTTCGAAATCTTGTTTTTGGGGGGTTTTTCTGCAAACTCAACTGAGTTCAGTTTCTTAAAAAATAATAGACAAACATCTTGAATATGCAAATAAAATTGTGACCTACACGGGATCTTCCACATGTGTCACACACTCAAATGAGCAAGCCAAAATATCTCAAGCAAATTTACAACTATACTATTGGTGGTCTCCCAGAAGTCAGCTGGTGATGGATCACCATGTGCAGCGAAATAAAATTAGATTCAGAGGAAAGTTGATTTAACCGGATCTCTCTGAAGTAGCTTCTATGTTGGGACCCCTGCCTACATTTCAGAAGTGAAGTCACAATACTTAATTTCTACGGATAAATAAATAAATATAATTTTAAGCCATTGTCAAATCCATGGCCAACCAAGTGCACTGTTCATAAATTTCACTTGGGTTCCAATTTAATAATAATAATTATAATGGTCAACTTATTGCAGAGATCACATTATTTCTGTATTAAATATTGTTCAGCTCATGTATTACAATCCCTGCATCCTCCTGTACTCCAGTATCCCATAAGCACAGATATAATATATATATATTCAAATCACATGTATTGCACCTGTTGAATACACCTATTATACTCCAAAAACAATTACTGCCTGGTAAAGCAAGAGGAATACAGGCTCATATATTACTCTGCGAGATGTATGGCAGTCAGCCACCATCAAAGACAAACTGGAGATCCTTCGGAGGTCTTTATGATGAATCCTTTCCTTTTGGGAACTCCAGCAACTAGCGCCTTCCTCCAATCTCCTTCATTGTGAAAGTTGAGAAGAATTTCGAACACTGAAAATCAATGATAGAAATTCCTGATTATAATCATCACTTGGAACGGGCAAGGCACCTACATTGCTTTTCTCCACACAGTATGAGTGGGTACCTGGTAGGGTTAAATTATGCCAAAATGTGCAGTGCTGCAATGTCATTGAATACTCTCCCAGGGAGCTTGTTCCATAGGCGTTTAATCCAATGACTGGTGTAATGATGATGTGAAGTGCACGGAGGGCTTAACAATATGAGCTATATAAATCTGCCATTATTATATTATTTTTATTAATACTATATTAATGTTATTATATTTATCATCACAAAAACCAATTTTTGAAAAGGTAAAAAAAAAATGTTAAAATATACTTAACAATATGTGCTATATAAGTCTACCATTATTATTATTATTATTATTATTATTATTATTATTATTGTTATTATTATTATTATTATTAATACTATATTAATGCATAGTTATCATCACAAAAACGAATTACTGTATCTGAAAAAGTAAAAAAAAAAATGTTAAAATATTCTCCAATATAAAGAAATTAAGACAATGACTCTACATTAATAATTATTTTAATTCTTAAAATAATTACCTGTATAATAGTCACTTTTAATGATAAATAGGAGCACTTACTGTTTCAAATTTGTAGAAGGTCAACAGAAATAATTCTTTAACTGTTTAAGGTCTAAAGCCTGTTTCCACTAGGCAAATTTATTTACGTGAACCAAAGCGTTGGTTCACCTCCAGAGCTCTGATTGATTGCGCATTTTTTGCTTCCCAAAATGACTTTCGCTGGAGCGAAAAACTCTGATAGAAATGTGAATGCGCATGTGCATTAACCTGACAATTTTGATTCGCACGAAAAAAAATTTGCCTAGTGGAAAATAGGCTAAAGAGCCATTACCTTGGTTGACAGCTAGTATCTTGCTGTGTGTTCCATTTGGCTGCCGATGCATGTATTCATCAATTGGAAGTCGTGCTGTTGCTAGTTTGCATTGCTTTGCATGGTTCAATGTATGGCTTTTGATTGGGTTCTCGTCAACTAGTCCACCAATTACATACACTTTACTGTCATCAAGTACTTCTAGAACTGTAAAAAAAAATCACAATTGCATATATTTGACTGACATCACTAGAACTGTGAAATAAAAACACAATTGCATACATTTTTTAATCAGAAGGTCTTGTGTTCGAATCCCGATGGGGACATACGTTTTTCTCAAATACTTATTATCATCTTTAATCATCACCAGTGGAGGTATATCTCTATACTAAAGTTACTTTCATGTGATTTACTATTATTCATTGCGTATTACACAATACCTTGAGAAAAAAACGTGTCCTAATGGGAAAACCCAAGGGTGTAGCGCTTGACCTCATAGCTCAGTTGATAGAGTATCCAAACGGTAATCGCAAGGTCTTGGGTTCGAATCCCAATGGGGACCTGCGTGTTTCTCAAATATTTATTACCATTCCAGTTTAAATTAATATGACAATTATTTTAAAACTGATAGCATGTCCTTTTATTTTTAGGAATGGCCAATCATAAAGCAATTTTTTACTGCATGCCCTTTTCAAAACCAACCAATCTTGAACACAAAATTAGGCAAGTTTAATGGGGTGGGTTTACACCCTAAGAATCCCATTTAAAAAAAAAAGGGATGAACTGATAGAAAGTCGTTTATTTTTAGGAATAGCCATTTAAAAGGCTTTTTCCAACACTGTATGCCCAATTCAAAGCCAATCTTTGATTTCTTTTTTTTTTTTTTTGTGGGGGTGGTGGGTGGGAGGAAGTACAGTATGGTATGTAATTCAGCTGAGCTACTCATTTAAATCATACCCCGGGCACCAGAGAAACCCTGTAAAATTTAACTGTTGCTATTGTCATTGTCAATTGGTGTTTAAGTAATGACGCACCTTGATCAGAATCTGGGCTAAGGTATACAACCTCTTCAAGAGCAAACATTTCTAACAATGGTTTCTCACTTTTTTCAATCTATTGCAAAAAATTGGGGAAAAATGAAGAATTAACTTAAAAATCAAATACTCCTGTGATTAAATTAAGTTGCTTTCTAAAGAAACAACACATAGTATTGAAACAAAAATGATGAATTAAATTAATGAGGAAAAAATGACGAATTAAATTAAAATGCTTTCTAAAGAAACAACACTTATTATTGAAAATTTTCATGTTAATGCAGTGACAATGCCCCCTTTTACCTAAATTAAAACAAGCAGAAATTTTTTTTTTTTTTTTTTTTTTTTGTGATTTGATGTAATACCTAGATGCACGTACATGCATAAAGGGACCAGCTGTAATTATGAAAGTATTGATGCGTGTGAGAAAAGAAGAATCATTCCTAATATGCTGGCTGTAGCCAACATTTTTCTCTCACCAAGTAATTATTAAATCCATCATTTTTTTGGACACAAGCCTTATGGATATCACTATCTAACTCTAGGCCGGCTAGGATCAGATGCATTGGCTTTTCAGCTTTCTTGTTTGCTCCGTACACTCTACCAAGCTGCTGGGCTAGCTTGCTTATTTCCTAAAACAGTGGAAAAGAAACCAAGTTAAAGAAAATGAAAAGGTGTAGTAAGATTATATAGCTCCTGCTGTTATTCTTATATGTATGCTGTGAACAGGGGAGGATTTGGGGGGGGGGGCAGGCCGAACCCACCTTTTGGAAGAGAGAAAAAGAAAAAAATTGATTGCCCAAAATGCCTCAGAGGTTATTTTTGGACAAAAAATTTGCAGGGGCATGCCCCCCAAAGCCCATAGGGGGGTTGTTATAGTGGTGTTATCTCGATTGGCCCCAATTTCACCCCCCCCCTTTTTTCGGACATCTCTAGATCTGCCCTTGCTGAACATATAATAAGAGTAAAAGTGTGCATCAGGGCTGAAAAAAGGTGCGCGACCGGCGGTCGGAGGCATTGGCCTTTAACCTGGAGGCATTTTAGAAAATTTTTTTTTTTTTACACATCACAATTTAATGCAAAATTTAATATTTTTGCTTGCTCCAAACCAATAAACGTACTACTGTTTCACTGTGTAAAGATAACATATGGTTCTGGAGAGGCATTTGATCAAGATAATTTTCATGGTCGAAGGCACAAAAATATCTTTTCCAGGCCTAGTGTGAATGTGTGTATGTGGGTGAAAAGTATCTATGCACATGGGTCTGGGTCTGGGGGAATATGCATGGTCTGTTCTATGTCTCTGTAGATGGATCTGGCAATGGGTCTCATTCAATCAATTTATCTATCAATCAATCAATTTCTTTTATGTCACACAATGTCCATATCAAATTACTGAAACAAATAAGATATTACAAAATGTAACTGCTACCAATTACAAATATAAATAAACAATCAGCTATATCATCAATTTAGCAAATTTCTGTCACGCAGAAAATGTTTATAGCTCGAACTTTCAATAGCGACATAAAGAATACAGTGCATAAAGAAAAAAATGCATAGTTTGGGTATTTCCACTGACCTTTGAACTCATTATGGCAGACATGCTCAAATCAATACAAACTCTCTGTCCATCAGTCAAAGCATCTGCGAGTCTTTTCCTCTTCTGTTTTAACTCAATTTTTTTTGGTAATTTATTTGTTGATTCTTGTCCTTTGAAAGAAATGTTGAGATTGATAAAAAGAGGTATAGAATATACTAATATTGTGCAAAGAATATGAAACAATGTCCGAGATGGGGTTGAATTGATCCCCTGTTGGCCCTGCCACTGTGGTTACCACTTAGTAGAGTTCAGTTTCAGTTTATAATCGGTTAGATCATTGTACTTCAGTTTGATCCAATTGTACCTTTTATGATCCTATTGATGATTATCACAACACATACAAGAAATTTGCAAACACTTTGTTCCGAAAGGGCAAAATGAATCTGGTATTAAAGAACTAAACATCGTTCTGTCAAACTTTTGAATAATCTACCATCAAATATTTGCAGCACTATACATTCACTTACTTGCATTTTAAAAAACATTCACTTACTTGCATTTAAAAAAAATATCTGACTTAAATTTCCTTCTTGTCATAATTCTTCATATACATTTTCATATTCTCATTTAATTTCATTGGAATTTCATGAAATTATAACAGTTAATTTTTTTTCTTTACGATTACTCTACCTTCAGTTTGTCTCAAATTGCGGATCCTCTCTCTCTTAGCCTTTCTCTTCTCTGCTCGGACTGCTTGCTTCCTTGCAAGATATTGCTCATGGTTCTGCTGCTTTTTGATAGATTTTTTCTACATTTATGACACAATTTGAATTCAAAAGTTTAAACATCTAGTAGTATACATGTAAAGGTCAGAGGCACATCTAGCTACAGTACTTGACAAGATAAAGAGGGGAAAGAGATGGTGGGGGGGGGGAGCTGTCAGAATTTATTTAAGTAAAATGTGGCTGTCTTGCTCCTTTTCCCCTCTCTATTATACCAGTACTTAAACTTTACAATGATGTAGTATATATTTGTCTCTAATACAAAAAATTACATGAAACTGTCAGACAGAACAGAATATAGTGCACTAAAATTGTAGTTTCATATGAAGAAATATATTAAGATAAAGATGAAATAAATACAAACATTTTTGTTACATTAGTAAAATAAAAAAAAAGTACATTAACATTAACAATATCTAAAATATCAGCCGTAAGTATAACAAACTGTGGCATATTACCCAGTGAAGCCAGGAAGTCAAATTTTTCTATCTTGTTGGAAAGTCTAGAAGAATTATTTCCAGCGGGGTCCTTCTGGTGATTGGGCAGTACACCAGGTGACAATTTCTTAATCTTTTCCGGAGAGTGTACTGCATTCTTTAACGTGCACATGGGCCATAAATGCACACGGGACAACGGCTTAAACGTCTCATCTGAAAGACGGTGTGCTATTGTAACTTGTATTTCAGCCCTCCAGCTGAAACACAAGGAGAGGCAGCGATGGGAATTGAACCAGGGACCTAGAGATCTCTACGGTTCAGCGCACACATAGTGGCTATAACCACCAGATTTGAGCTAAGCTGCTCTCTCTGTTTTGTACAAGGTGAATATTTTGCAGTCTTGATGGTGTTTAGTGGGACTGCTTTAGAGTGCAAAGTGGTCTTGGAATTACTATACAGTGCTGAAATAATTAAATGTGTGTGTACTTAGTTTATAAACGTACAGACATTTGTGGATCTGAGTCTACATGATCACTCAGTGCATTTTGGGAAGAGACACACGTTTCATCTTTAAAAGCACTTGCATCATCTTCTTTCTCCTGGTAAGACAAAAAAATAATTCCATTAATTTTAACTAGACAGATTAATATCATTATTTTTGTTGTTGCTCTTGCTACTGCTGCATTCAAATTCAAGTCACTATTGTTAATACTTGGTGTTTTGACAATGAAAATCAAACTGGAGAAATATTAAGGTGTATATTGTGTAATGGAAGCAGGTCAACTCGGCCCCAAGTCAACTCGGCCACAAGTTAACTCGGCCCCATGTCAACTCGGCCCCATGTCAACTTGGCCATAAGTCAACTCGGCCCTAAGTCCACTCGGCCCCAAGTAGTCAACTCGGCCCCAAGTTAACTTGGCCCCAATTTACTTTATATTTACGAAATAATTACCAAAAGAATATGAATGCAAAGCCAAATTATGCCAAAATTAAAGTGTTTTAAATCTTGCCTTTGTTATTCTTTTTTCAATAACAATAATACAAACATTTATAGTAATAATATTAAAATAATAATAATAAAATGGCATAACAAAAACCATTAATAGTAACGATATGAACATACTGATTTATAGGCATTTCAAACATACATTATTATATATATGTATATATACTAATTTTGTAATGTAATTTTCGAGTCTCCGCTGTGCAGATTCGCTTTTGTGTCCTTGGGAAAGGCACTTTAGCTACATTGATTCAGTCCACCCAGATGTATTAATGGGTACCAGCAAACTGCTGGGGACTAACCTGCGACGGACTAGTGTCCCGTCTTATCCGCTTCACACTACAGAAACTGGGGATAAGCTCCAGCTCCTATGAGCCCTTATGGCTTGGAAAGAAAAGGATTTAGTACATATACTAGGCATATTTAAATATACCGTACTGAAATTCTTCTCCAGTAAAGTTTTTCTTTAAGTCCATATTGTTATATAGTATTCGTTTCCTATTATATTTATATATAACATGGTTTAGATTTTACCTATTATATAATGATTTATATACATACATAC